CCCATTTATAATGCACCTTCTGTCATTTACTGGTAAGCAAAATAAGCAAAAACAAAACAGAGAGACGAAGATCCAGAAAGAACTGTGAACATTTTTTTAATTTTATTTTATACCAGGCGACCAAGTGGGGCTGCTGATCTACCTCTGACCCCCTCCGCGATCTACAGGTAGATCGCGATCTACCTGTTGGACATAGCTGATATAATATGAGCCATTCAAATGCATGACTACGAAGATTGGTTATAGGAATCATAGAAGCCCTTCTAAAGTTCATGGGCCCTGTGTGGCAGCCCTGCTTAGCCCGCTGTGGCGACCAATGTGCTCACGCAGCTGCCCTGGCCTTATGGCGGGGTGTGTGTGTGTGTTTCCCCCTCGCTGACCATTCCTCTGCCTTTCTCAGGTTGCCCGGAAACTGGTAATCATTGAGGGAGACCTGGAGCGTACAGAGGAGAGGGCCGAGCTGGCCGAGTCGTGAGTATCCTTGTGCTCGGAGTTCGTTCCTTCCCTCTCGCATGAGGCGTCTCTCGGCTGCATGGAAGCTATCGTGGAGCGGCTGCGCTTGCAACCCCCCCCGGTGAAACAAGGCCTGAAGCGTGGGGGCCCCCCTGGGCTTAGAAGCTGTGCCACCCCCACTCCCTCTCCTCCACCCCCCTCACCAAAAGGTTGTGGCTAATCTTGGCCGTTTCGACTCTCCCAGTCACTTTGCAGGGGAAATTCTTTCTCTCAGCTCGCCTTTTTGAGGCACGGAGCCGCGCGGCCTCCTGGCAGCATTCCCGACTCGGAGGAGCGCGAATGCTCCGTTGGCAAGCAGGGTTGGCGGGGTGCGCGCTGGTTGGGTTTCCATGACTCGCCGCCAGCCTCATGCCCAGGGACTTGAAAGCAATCCTCCTGACTCGGTTTCCACAAAATCGTCCTCCCTTTCGCTGGCAATAACGAAAGCCAACTGACAGACTTGAAAGAGAACATGCCAGAGCCGTCCTATGAAGGGTGGAGAATGAAGCGAGGCAGCTGTGGACTGTTCCACTGCTTCACATGGGGGGAGAGACAAAACACACACACACACACACACACACACACGGTCTATAGTCCGTGGCAGGGGCTAGGCCGAGCTTTCCTTAGGGCTGGGTTAGTTTTTCCCCCATGCGGAGGTGTGACCTCCGCAGAGGGTGGGGACTGTGTTCAAGAATGGCTGTGGTTACCACCAGTGTTCCCTCTAAGCTGAGTTAGTGTGAGCCAGCTCACAGTTTGTTAGCCTCCGGCTCACATGTTTTTTGTCCCAGCTCAGGAAGGATGGCTCCAGAGCAAACCGATTCATGCAGGAGCCAAATCGCTCATCCACAACTTTAATGCCAGCAGCTCACAAAGTAGATTTTTGCTCACAAGACTCTGCAGCCTAGAGGGAGCATCGGTAACCACCCACCCAATGGTGTTGCTGCCCGGAATTTTCCAGCGTCATGCTGAGTCATGTGGCAGACAGTTCCTCTGTCTCCAGTGTGGGTGGATTGAGCCGGCCAAGCCCTAAGAAGCCAGAGTGGGGGCTCCCTTTCTCTAGCAGGGCAGGCGGCTGCCTTTTTCTTGCGCCCGTGGATTCCCTCCATTCGTTTTCCATGGAGGGGGATTCGCTGTGCTGGAGACGGCTCCATCCCGGGATTGGCATCACTGGACTCGGGCCGGAAGGAGCCTTCCGCCGCTTCCAGGAAGGGAGCGGCTGCCGAGGCCACGGAGCCCAGATGCTGCAGGTTTTTTGGGAGGAGGGGGGATCGTCTGCAGCAGGGTGGTCCCGCATTCCAGATGGCGGGGCTGTGTCAGGTCTGCAGCACATCTGCCGCCCTGATGTGGGAGTGGAGGGGGAATGCGAAGCATTTCTTCTTGGGCCTGCGGGGGTGGGGTGGGGGTGGAATGGGAGAGAACGAAAGTATAGCTTTTAAAAAAAAAACCAAAACAACCCTTCAAATACCTGTACCTTCCATGACTGTGGGGCAGTCAGCAGTGCTCCCTCTAAGCTGTGGAGTCTTGCGAGCAAAAATTCTACTTTGTGAGCTAAAGTTGTGAGCGAGCAATTTGGTACTGTATATAAATCAAATTTGCTCTGGAGCCCTCCTTACTAAGACAGAAATGTGTGAGCCAGAGGCTGACAAAGTGTGAGCTAGCTCACACTAACTAAGCTTAGAGGGAACGCTGGCTGTCAGTTTCCCCAGCTCCCCCTGCTATAAAAACACCGGCCTTCCATAGTTGTGCGAGGGTGAGCGTATTTTTAGGTGGCTTCCAGAGACAAGAGTGATAGTGTTGCCGACGAATTAATGCCAAACATCTGGCTGTCCTCTCCCCTCACCATGCGCCTGCCTCTTAAAACCTGCAGGCCGAAAGGACAGTGACACAGTAGCTGGCAATATATATATTCCCCCCACCACCACCACCTTGAGACTCTGCCATGGGAACCTGCCTCGTTTTGTGTGGGATACCGCATCACGCCGCCTCCACTTAGGACGGTGCCTCAGCTTGGTGGAACCCCCTCAAGTACAGTTTGGTGTAGTGGTTAAGTGCACAGACTGTAATCTGGGAGAACCGGGTTTGATTCCCCACTCCTGCACTCGCAGCTGCTGGATGACCTTGGGCAAGCCGTAGTTTTGTCAGAGCTGTTCTTGAGAACCAGTTTGGTGTAGTGGTTAAGTGTGCGGACTCTAATCTGGGAGAACCGGGTTTCACTCGCAGCTGCTGGATGACCTTGGGCAAGCCATAGTTCTGGCACAGCTGTTCTTGAAAAATGGGCAGTTTCTGTCAGAGCTCTCTCAGTCTCACCCAACTCACAGGGTGTCTGTTGCGGGGAGGATAAGGGAAAGGAGTTTGTAAGCCGCTCTGAGACTCCTTCGGGTAGTGAAGGGCCGGGTATAAATCCAATCTCCTCCTCCTCCTCCTCCTCCTCCTCCTCCTCTCCTCCTCCTCCTCCTCCTTCTATCTTTCTAGTACGGTTGCTGGCTCCAGGTTGGGAAATTCCTGTCGATTTGGGGGTAGACTCTGGGGAGAAACGGGACCTCAGTGGGGATATAAAGCCTTTGGGGCCACCTCCCAAAGCTGACATTTTTCTTCAGGGAGGCAGATCTGTGACATCTGGAGACCAGTGTTAATTCTGGGAGATCTCCGAGTCCCACCTGGAGGCTGGCAACCCTTGTACACTTCCATCTCCCCACAGCCCTGTAGGATAGGTTAAGCTGATTGACTGGCCCAGGGCCACCCAGCAAGCTTCCATGGCAGAGTAGGGATTCGAATTCGGGTCTCCCAGACACTAGTCCACCATTCTGCTCCACATGGGTATGGTAAAAGCCTCATTCTCAGTCCAAAGGTTGCTCCCCTCCCCTCCCTTTGCCTCTTCTTCTTCTCTTCTACATGGGGAGAGGGGAGAATTCGTAAGGAAAGGGGGGGTGGCTTGGGAAGAAGCCCCTCTTGCTTGGGGGGGAGGGGTGGACAGCTGGTTCCACAGGCTCTGTCCAGTCGGACAACTGGAAGGAGGCCAAATTCTCAGCAATGGCCGGTTCCTGAGTGAAGAGGGCCCTTGAGGGAAGGGCCTACTCGTGAGCTGGGCCAGAAGGAGGCGCGGCTAGAGAGTGTCGCTTACAAAGGAAAGGGGGGAGGCTGAAGTGAAGGCGACTGAGGAGGAAGGAGATCAGTGACTTGGAGAGGAAAAGGGATCAGGGCGGGAGTTAACTCTCCCCTTGCTGAGGCCAGAGGAGCACGACGCCCTGCCTCCTTTGTTCCCGTATTGTAAAACGTGGGTTGTTTCTTTGCTTATTGCCCTGACTTGGCTAGCCCAGGCTAGCCCAAGCCTCTTCAGATCTTTAAAGCTAAGCAGGGTCAGCCTCAGTTCGTGCTTGGATGGGAGACCGCCAGGGGAGTCCAGGGTTGCCAGGCAGCGGCAGGCAATGATGAAGCCACCTCTGTGTGTCCTTCGCCCTGACCTGGAGGGCCCAGGCTAGCTTTGATCTCATCCGGCTAATCGGCGTCTGTCCGCCTTGGTTGGTACTCGGATGGGAGGCTGCCGAGGAAGTCCAGGGCTGGTACGCAGAGGCGGGCCGTGGTGGACCGCCTCTGTTCATCTCTTGCTTTAGAAACCACATGGAGGTGCCGTCAGTCAGCTGCAGCTTGACGGCGGGAAACCCTCCCCCCGGCCAGTGTTAACTGACTGTAATTGGCTTCAGTTGCAGAAATGAGACAGTTGTTTGAGGGTCCTAAACTCAAATGAGCACCTCCCAGCCCTGTCCTTTGTGCAAACTGTAATTCCCACAATTCTCTGGGGGCTGTTCCCGGAGTGGCCTAAACGAGTACCCAACAGATGCAAGTCTTCAGTTGTCGAAGAAGAAGAGGAGATTGGATTTATACCCCACCCTTCACTCCCCAAAGGAGTCTCAGAGCGGCTTACAATCCCCTCCCCTCCCCACAACAGGACACCCTGTGAGGTAGGTGGGGCTGAGAGAGCTCTCTCGAGAACTCCCCTTGAGGGAACAGCTCTGAAAGAACTTGCGACTGACCTGAGACCCACACCAGCAGCTGCATGTGGAGAAGTGGGGACTCCAACCCGGTTCTCCCAGATTAGAAATGCCAAACTGGCTCCAACAGAAGATGGAACAGAGGCGGGGTTTGCCACTGCCTGCCTCCACACGGAGACCCTGGACTTCCTTGGTGTTCTCCCATCCGAGTGCTAAACCCCGCTTAGCGTCTGAAATCTGACCCACATTGGGCTAGCCCGGGCGATCCAGGCCAGGGCCTCCTTAACCTGCCTGTAAAAGGGACCTGCACAGACCTGCTCCTCAGACAGCGTCTCTCGTCGGACGGGTGTCCCGGGCTTCACCACACACCCACGCTCCTTTTGCTTCTGCACTTCTGGGCCTTGTGTGACCGGCGCCTTCC